TTATGGCTCCTAAGAAGAAACAAGTGGCTCACATCATGGAGCAGGAACTCAACAACAAAACACAAGAAGAGGTGGCGGAGCTGAGAAGACAAGTCGAGACACTTGCTCAAGAGTTGAAATCGCTACACTCCCGTTCGGAAATAGGGGACAACAACTCTGATGCAAGTATCTCCATGCAGTCATTTTTTATCATCAAGGCAAGCAACCAAGATGTCTGTAGTTGCGGGTAGTGACCAAAGATGGTGGGTAGCAGATCTAAAGTTTGAGATCCCAAAATTCCATAGAGGTATGATCCTAGAAGAATTCATGGATTGGCTATTCGTGGTGGAAGAAGTCATTGAATTCAAGGAGGTTTTGGAAAATAAGATTGTGTCCTTAATAACCCCTCAATTTAAAGGGTGAGCGGCAACACGGTAGTATCAATTGAAAGTTATGTGCTAGAAAAGAGGCAAGGAAAAGATTAAGATATAGGAGAAAATCAAAGCATAGATGAGGTCAGAATTTATACCCCATAATTATATTCGTTTACTTTATCAAGAATTACAAAATCTAAGGCAAGAAACTGATATAGTAGATGAATATACAAAGAAGTTTCATCTATTAGTGGCTTAGAATGAGTTGGTTAAAACTGAAAACCAATTGGTGGCTAGGTATAAAGGTGGGCTAAGACCAAATATTCGGGATGTGTTAGACCTATTTGACTGCTATGTTTCTATGGCATACCAACATGCTCTGACCATAGAAAGATAAAGCAACCGACCTAACCAATTGGGCCGAACCCAAATGAATGTGGCCAAACCACCCCCACGTAGTAATCCCACTCCACCCCTAAATTCAACCACTTAGTTGTAGTGTCATGGGCTGAACCAAAACCAAGATCATGGACCTAATCAAAATTAGGTTGGTTCCCCTGGGCTGAAGTGTTTTAAGTGTACTGAACCAGGCCATAAATTTGTTGATTGCTCAAGGGGTGACAAAAGAAAATGGACGATATTTGTAGAAGATGAGAGTAAACATCAAATAGAAGCATTTGACTATTCAACCCCACTTGTATTTGACTCTTTTAATGAAGAAACCTTAGGGGGAGAATTAATGTATGGGGCTATGGAAAAGGCCTTGGTGATGTAGCGATCATTTCTAACTCTTGGGGATGAATTGTTGGATTGGCCAAGGAATAATGTCTTCCACATCACATGCACTATGGGTGGGAAGGTAGCAAGCCTTGTAATTGATAGTGGGAGTTGTGAAAATGTTATAGCAGTAGTAGTCGTTCGCAAGCTGAACCTAAAAACTCAACAACACCCTCACCTCTATAAGCTTGCATAGCTGAAAAGAAAGAATGAGATCTTAGTCATACAACAGTGTCTAGTAAGCTTTTCTATTCATAGTAATTATAGTGATCATGTGTGGTGTGATGTATGCATAGATGCTTTCCATTTGCTACTTGGGCGCTCGTGGCAATTTAATCGCCACGTAGTGAATGACGGGAGAAAGAACACCTACTCTTTTGAGTTTAAAGGGAAAAGGCTGACCTTATGTCTTTCACAAGAGACTATACCTAAACCGAAACCCGGGGAGGGTTATAGTCTCTTTGCCATGATTGAATTCACAAATGCCTTAAAAGAGACAATTGTTGTGTATGCTTTAATTGACAAGGGGCTTGAGCTAAAAGGTATGGAGATTCTAGAAGTGGTGAGACATTTGCTTGATGAATTGTGTTTCCCGAGGACTTGCTTCTATAATTACCACCATTAAGCGATATCCAACATTGCATAGATTTAACACCGAATGGTAGTCTCCCCAACAAGGCCCATTATAGAATGAACTCCATTGAACATGAGGAGTTACAAAAACAATTAGATGAACTGATTATTAAGGGGTTCATATGGAATAGTATAAGCCCATGCACAGTTCCTGCTTTGTTAGTGCCAAAGGATGGCACTTGGAGGATGTGCGTTGACAGTCGGGCAATTAATAAGATAACCATCAAATACTGATTTCCAATTCCATGCTTGGACATGTTGGATCAACTTTTTGGGGCCAAGGTATTCACTAAGTTGGACTTGGAGTCATGTTACCATCAAATTAAAATTCGTCCTGGTGATGAGTGGAAGGCAGCGTTCAAAATATGGGATGGTTTGTATGAATGGCTAGTGATGCCATTCAGTTTGTCTAAAGCACCAAGCACTTTCATGAGAGTCATGAACCAGGTTCTCAAACCTTTTATCGGTAAAAGTGTTGTGGTATACTTTGATGATATCTTCATATTTAACACTAATATGAGCTTTCATTTGTTGCATTTTCAAGATATACTTATTACTTTGCGCAGGAGTAACTTTATGCAACTATGAAGAAGTGTATCATTACCATAGATCGAGTCTTATTTGTTGTGTACGCCATCTCAAGGGAAGGAGTTTCTATGGATCCAGAGAAGGTTTGTGCCAATGTTGAGTGGCTCACTCCCAAATACTAAAGCACAAAATTTCTATGGTCTTGTTAGCATTTACCAACGATTCATTAGCAACTTCAACACTGTTATGGCACCATACACAAATTGTATGAAGACCAATACCAATTTTGTGTTCACCACTAAAGCCGAAAGGGCCTTCATTGAGATTAAGGCACAATTGACAACTGCACCTGTGCTAGCCCTTCCCAACTTCGAACAACCCTTTGACGTTGATTGTGATATCTTTAAGGTTGGAATCAATGTTGTTCTCAGCCAAGGTGGTTGGCCCATAGCCTATTATAGTGAGAAATTAAATGGATCACGCCTCAACTACTAAACTTATGATGTAGAATTTTATGCTATGGTACAAGCGCTCTAGTGTTGGCGACATTATCTCATCTCTAAAGAATTCATCGTATACTCAGATCATGAAGCACTTAAGCATATTGGGGGCCAACATAAATTGAATGCAAGACATGCTAAATGTGTAGCATACTTCTAAGAATATTCGTTTATGCTGAAACACAAGTCGGGTGTGCACAATCAAGTTGTAGTGCGCTCAGGTGAAGGAAGGCCATGTTATCCATGTTCTGAGCATAGGTACCAAGGTTTGATACTTTCCGTGAATTATTTCACTGACCCTTATTTTGCTAGTATCATGGAGGATGTGCAAGTAGGTAGTAGGACGGACTTTGTTGTATATGATGGCTTCCTATTCAAGGGAACACACCTATGTATACCTAATTGCTCATGGCAGCTGAAAATTGTCAAAGAGCTTCACAATAAAGGACATTTTGGGTAAGACAAAACAATTTAATTCGTTTCAACAAGTTACTATTAGCCCAAGATGATGAGAGACATCACGAGGTTTGTAGAATATTGTCACATATGCCATGCTTCTAGGAGACAATAATCAATACTAGATTATACATGCCCCTCCAAGTTCCTAAAGGACATTAAGTAGATATATCCATGGATTTTGTTCTCAGGTTTCCACGTAACCAGCGATAAGTAGATTCTATAATGATAATCATAGATCATTTTTCAAAAATTGTTCACTTCATGGCATGTAAGAAGACAATGGATGTGTCACTTATTGCTAGTTTATTCTTCAAGGAGATTGTCAAACTCCATGGCTTACCATCTTCGATAACTTCAAATAGAGACTTCAAGTTCATAACACACTTTTGGAGAAGTCTTTAGAGGCTCATGGGTACCTCATTACAATTCCGTAGTTCATATCATCCCTAAATGATGGCCAAACAGAAGTAGTCAATAGGAGTTTGGGAAATGTTTTGAGAACCCTTGTAGGTAGGTAGTCATGATCGACAGTGGCATCTCTTATTAACACAAGCCAAATTCACCTACAATAGGTCAAAAAATAGGAGCACGAGATACAACCCATTTGACATAGTATATGGGGCCAATACCTGTAGCATCCTTGATCTTGCTACTAGTATTTGGCCATGCCCAATTCATGACGAGGCTGATAATTGATTTTTTGATCAATTAGAACTTTCTTTTTGATGAGTTTTAGTAGGATTCTGTTATGGGGTGTTTTTATGGATTATAAAACTTTCTTGTAGGAGCCATAATGGTGTAAGTCTATATAAAAGATAGATAGGACAAAGTTATGACAGTTTTGATGTTGATTTTCTCTTAATTATTCAGTGAAGAGTTGTTCTTCTTGTTTAGTCGGCTTTTGTTCTTTTCTTTGAAATTTCTTATAATGTGGTTTGTTTCCATACTGCCCCACACATCCACCCATACAAGGTTATGAGAAACCACAAATCAGGTTGAAGATTAGATTCAGTCCTCACAAAACCATGTTCACACCATCCTCACAATCACTTGCAACGTGTATTAAGATTATCTCCGTACTTGTATGCTTTTATTCATGAGGAGACTGTTGCAAGTGGCTGTAACTGTGAGGGCATACAGTGTAAGTACGGTTTTGTGAGGACTGAATCCGATCTCAGAATCCTATAATTCTAGGATCTGTGAGCCCAACTTGAGATTCCAGACCACAGGCCAGTCCAGAGTCATATGAGTACAGAAGTACAGATGCCATATGATTCTCACCTGTCTATGGTTTTGGATAACTTGCGAGTTCCAAATGCAATTGACTCAACTGTGATTGTGAGTCTATAACAGAGGTAGACTCAGCTTTCACCATAGAACACTATGGAATTTTGCATGCCTTCAGATTTTTCTCAACTTTATCAGATTTATCAGGTCAAAGCATAAGGCCAATTTGTAACTGAAATCTAAGGCACCAATACAACATCCCATAACCATTAATTGACCTAGAAATTCCAATCGTTGAAAAGGAAGCCTCCATTAAAAAGAATCTTTGACACAAATAAGTATTATTGTTAATCTCTTGAAGCAAACAAGTTGTTTGGATTTAATCATTCTATATTAATAAATAAACCACCACTAAGATTCTCCCTTTTTAGTTAGCCCATCTATAAATCATTCCTTTTCTATATATCCTATTGCACACTATCACAAATTGCCTCTTACTCTTCTCTCCCTCTCTAGCTCTCTCATGGCTGAACGTCCTTGCTTCTGCGTCTTGCTCATTTTTCTTGGTGAGTTGATCTTGTTATGGAAATTCCTTCCCCCTACAGGAGTGGTCAAATACCATCTTCACAAACCCCATCTCGTGGAATTCAGTGTTTCAAAAGACAACATTCTTCGTTACAATTTCACGTTCCACATCACTTTTGAGAAACCTAACAAGCGGGTTAGTGTTTACTACGATCAGATCGAAGCTGAAACTTATTATCATGGCGTAACGTTGGGGAATGCAACCTTCGGACCTTTCTACCAAGGCGATACAGACACCGATCTCCATGCCGTTCTCCATGGCAACTCAACTGATCAACTGGGCCAGAGTTCCATAATTGAAGAGTTCAACAGGGAAGAGAAAGAAGGGACTTTGACAGTTGTTGTTAAGCTCTACATCTGGAATAGGTACAAGTTAAGATTTTACACGACGCATCAACACGAGAAGATCAACTGTAAATTTTGGTTTCATTTGAATAGAACTAGAAGCACTGCTGGGGCTTGCCTTATGAACTGATGCATGCATGAAGCGGCACTGTCGCAAATAACCCAGATCAGATTGCATTCATTTTGCATAGAAAGCCTTAATTTGTTGCATAATTAGATCTCTATTTCTATTATATTTTAAAGTGTTTGTTGCATGTAAAAGGAACATTATATCCAGAATTCTTATTATTTTCTGCAAGTAATATATCACACGATTGCATGATAGACCTTGCCCATGTTCTAACTAACAAATTCCTTGATTTATATATGGCTAACTCATCAAATCTTACCAAATACTTTTAAATTTTAATTAAGGATTGGAAGGTTGGACAAGAAATCCATCCGTTTGCTTTACCACCGAATTTTAATGTGTTTTTTTAATGAATTTATCAGGTTAGAGAATCATAAGGGCATAGATTGAAATTAGTCATTCTTTACCTTCTTCAACAAATAAAAAAATAAAAATAAAAATAAAAAGCAATTAGCCATTCTGTTCAGCTACTTCTTGTCAAAACGCGATATGAAAATCCTCCGGCTCGATCTTACTCCGAACCGTTAATAAAGTAACTGTTTGAATTTCGAAAATTGTGCTGATAAAGTGGAGTTTTACATCGATTTCGATAATCTATGTAAAACTCTGCTTTAATGAACATTTACATCGGTTTAAGACGTAAAACTCCACTCCGTCCACATACTTACACTCTTCGAGTGTAGGAGATCTGGACTCCCCAAACCTGAAGGCCTCGCCAACTTCATCTAAGGAGAGTAAACTTTCCACCTCACTATAACCTCCTTTCTTGTGTCGCAATTTCATTAACAAATGAACACGTCTTGTGTTATTCAGAATATAAACCCCACTTATATGCGTGGAGTGAGACCAAACGGTAAAACTTCTGTTAAATTAATATTTTATTTTTTTAAACTTAGATAATTAAAGTGAACAAAAAGGAGTGGGAAGTGACCTTGGATTCCAAACGATGAAACCCTTCTTCAAGGTTCAGCCATTAACAATCAGAAGAAGACCTCCGAGCTTCAGCCAAGGGTGAAAAGTCTATATGAAAGCACTCATTTGCGAGTTGGTTCCTTGAATCTTCATAGTGAAACCTTTTGAACTGTGAGATTCAATATTTCTTCTTCCGTCCTTAGTCAAGATCAAAAGCGGCATTTGGAGGTTTCATTCAAGACAAATCTGAGTTTTATTCTTGTTTCGTCAAGACTGAGTTTTCTTCTTCCATCTACGGCCAAGAGCGAGATTCAAATAAACAAGTCACAGGTGTTTTCTTCATCCCGAATTGAATCTTTCAAGATTAGCTTCAATGAGGGTTTCATCGTTTGGAGTCCAGGGTCAGTTTCCACTCCTTTTTGCTCACTTTAAATCTTTTTCTTAAATTATAAAAAATAAAATATTAATTTAACAAAAGTTTTACCGTTTAATTTCACTCCACGCATGTGGGTGGGGTCCACACTCTGAACACAAGACGTGTTCATTTGTTATTGGAAGTGCACCCCCGCCCACATACTTCCAGTGCAAGAGATCCAAACTCTTGACTAAGGCTGTGTCTGATTGCAATGCAAATAAACTTGCACTGATGCAAATTTATAGCAGTGCAAATTATTTGTGTAAATTCTAACCTATTTTTGTTTCAAATTTTAGCGTATTTAATTTGTTTGATTGCAATACAAATGGAGTGAAGTAAAACATGAAGCAAAATAAAATAAAATTAAACAAAATATTGCATTTTTTTTTCATTTGCACTCCCATGCATTTGTACTAGTGCAAATAAAATCGCACTACAGCCAAACACAGCCTAAGGTTCGAATGCGGCTTCTCCTCTTGGGTTAAGCAAGATAGTTTACTTTCAGTTGGTTGCTTGCCTCTTTGTTTGAAACTACATTAGCTCAAGTTGTTGGGTGTAAGACCAACAACAAGGTCTGGAATACCTTAGAACACTTGTACTTCCCCAAAGGTACTGCAAGTATTGTTGTTAACTTGAGAAGAAACGAGCTCAGTGCTCTTTACAAGAATGAATCCTCAATCACAGATTACTTGCAACAAGCTAAGATTTATTCTATTCTACTAGCAGCAATTGCGAACCACTCACTAACTCCCAATTGATTCATCATGTGTTACATGGCTTGGGCACGGATTTCCTTTGTTACGGTAGTCACCACACGTACTAATGAATCATCCTTCTCTTCTTTACAAGGTATGTTGCTCACCTTTGAGGGTCGTCTACTTTAGAACTGTTCTTCATTTATAGATATCTCTCCTTCTACTAATGTTGCTTCTAAGCCTTCCAAATACAGTAAGAACCCATGCTAGATCTATGGTGGTAAGAATCATTCTGCCAACTATTGCAGGAAATTGCTCTCTCTCCTTACAAAATTTGTGGAACTCTAAGAGCAATAAAATCCTACTTTTACTACTTGAACTTGAGTGCAAAACCGATTGATGCTTGGCTATTGATTTGTGTAAAATGCAAATCCACTTTGAGTGTGATTGTTAGTATAATCGGTTACCTAGTATTTGAGATTTCAACAAACTCCTATACTGTTGTAACCGAATACATTTATCTCTTGTATTTATCCTGTCTTTTGTTTGTATTTATCTCTGTTTTATCCTATTTATCTTGTTACTCTGTTCTTATCTGTACGTATACAACATGTATAAATATTGTACAGAACATTGAATGAAATACATCAGAGAATTCTTCTCTCTATTTCTTTCATGGTATCAGAGCAAAAGAACGCATGAATACTCTTCACCGAAAACCATGTTGACCTCCAACACTTCCAGTTAAACCCGTATTACTCAAAATACTCTATCCATACCTAAACTTGTGAATCTTTGAACCAATGTGACTCAACTTATCTCTGTTAAGCTTGATCGTCACAACTATCTTTTGTGGCGCCTTCAAATGCTCCCTATACTTGATGGACATCAACTAATGTGTTATGTTGATGGATCTCTCAAGTGTCCTGCTCAGTTCATCACTTCCCCCTCTAGCACTACAGGAGACCAAATTGAGAACCTAGCTTACAAAGCTTGGCGTCCCAAGACCAACTTCTACTAAGTTGGACCCTATCCTCTCTCATAAAACATGTACTCTCTCAGATAGTAGGATGCACTACTTCTCATCAGGTATGGTCTTTACTAGAAACCACTTATGCACCAAAATCAAAGGCTTGTATCATGCAACTATATTTTGAGTTAAATGCTCTAAAGAAAGGATGCTTGTCCATGAGCGATTATCTATTTAAAATAAAGAATATTGTTGACGCACTCTCAACAACAGGAGAACCCTTGTCTGACTCTGATCTTGTTTATCAGACTATAAAAGGTTTGCCATCTGAATAAGAAAGTTTTACTACAACAGTACTCACCCGATCACATGGTATTTTTTATGGCATTCTGCACAACCTACTTTTACAACATGATCTTAAACTTGAGCGAACGAAGAAGATTCAAGAACTTGAAGTTTCAGCCAACATGGCACACAAATACAAAGGAAATCGGCCCAACAACTCCAACACTCCAGTTGAAAGGTCTGAAAAAGAACAGAACCAAAAATCCAACTCAAATCCAAATCGTAGATACAAAGGTAGTCCTTGCCAAATCTGCAAACAACCCAATCACTCTACTCTTACATGTCTCAACAGGTATGATGCATCTATCAAATATACCCCCAAACGAGCACTTGTTTACAACACTGAAGCTTTTTAAACTCCATCGAATCAACACTCATTTGCTGATCTCTGTTGGTACCCTAATTCTAGAGCGACACACCATATCACCTGATGTAGCACAATCCGGTCACTTCTGGCTGGTGTTCGCGTGGCTCCTGCGAGGTACCTGAAACGAGAGGAAAGAGGAAGAACTCTCGGGGGGTTTCCCGGCGGGAACGCTTCGATGCTTAAGTTAGTACTGTGTGCAAGAAGCTGAAGGAAAACGAAAGCTAAGAGTGCAGGTTGCGCTAATGGTTCCAGATACCTTGTTCCTTGAGAATAAGCTCCTTATAACCAAATTTCGTTGCTTCAGGCCCTCTGACTTCTGACAGGGCAGGTATAACCGCCACTGTCAGTCTGCCACAGCTGTTACAGGCAGGGCTGAGGTGGCACGTGCAGGGTACATGTCTGTCAGGTGTGGGACGCCTTTCTAAAGGTGGCAGGCGCGACGAGGGGACATGCCTTCTGTCCGCAGGTTTGTCGGGTACGGCGGTCGGGCAGGAAGCCCTCCTATGGTATACCGAACTGTTCTCCTGCGAATTACCCTGAGCTGGGCTGTCCTTTGAGTGACGGGCTGCCTGTAGCCGATTATGCCGAGCTAGCCGACCCGAGGTCTTTGTACCTCAGGGCATCCGAAGAAGAATCGGTGCGTTCTTGCTTGGGAATGACCCGAGGCCCATTGGGAGGAGCTCGGGTCTCAAAAGGGGTCAGGGTGCCCCGAACTCGGGACCCCCCGAAGTGCCTTAACCCCGGGGAGGAGGTGTAGGCAAGGCGGCTTTCGGCGAGTAGTTTACCTGCCGAGTTGCCGTGCTGAAATCGACAGGACTTTCCCTTCGAGTTGTGATCACGTCCGTTGCGCTGTCATGCTGAGTCACTGTTTGAGCAAGGTCACGCCCACGTGTACCCGAGCTACGAGGTCCGGCCAAATCACCCTCCATCAATTGCCCCCCACTCCCTGCGTTGGCGACGCTGACCCAGCACGGGGAGGCCATGACATGGCGGGTGGATTTGGCGTCGGTATTTATGCTGTGTTGTCGCGCGTTCCGTCCAGCTATACCGGTCTAGCACCCGGCTCGATCGAAAAAGAGATTCAAGTCGCGTCTAGATTACGCGCGGATTTCACGCGACTTGGACTTCACGGACGTCAAAAATGCGCTAAATCGTTTTCGCCTCGAAGAACCCACGGTCGCGGCTATAAATAGGGGGTCCCTTGGCCATTTTCTTCGCCACAAAGCTTTCGTCGTTAGCGTTTGAGCTCGTGCCAGGGGTCTCCTAGCTCAGGTCCTCCAATTCGTTCTGTTCTTCCAGTCCGGTTGCGGTTCTTTGGTGAGTCCTCCCGAGCTTTCTTTTCCCTTCTAGTTCGTTTCTTTCTTTTAGTTTGGTATGTCGTCTAGTGTAGACAGTCTCATCGACAAGCCCAAGGTAGGTACCTCGGCTCGGGATATCCACTCTGCTGCCCAGCCGTCCGAAGTACAGGTGGCTTCGGGTCATCTGGCATCCACCTCCCACCGAGGTCGGGAACCAGATCAGTTCGGGCCTTCCATAATGACCTCGGAGAGGCTTCAGGACCTCATGCAGAGGTTCCTCCTCCCTAGCGAGTACTCATATAGTCTACCCACCGGCAACATCCCATGGGAGCACGGTCCCAACAAGATCGTGATCTTCAGGGAGCAACTGATAGCTGGGCTCAGACTTCCACTTCACCCTTTGATTGTTGAGGTGTTGGTACACCTCCATAGATTTAGATGTTCTTAGTACAATTTTGGCTTTAAAGAAGAGTGCTTCGGGCGCTCTCCCTGGGCATAGGCGGTCCTACTACCTATCCCCCCACCCGGGTTTCAAACTCATGCACAAGCTCCCGAGCAAAGTCCCAGCTTGGAAGCAGGACTACTTCGTAGTCCGGAGCAGTACGGGGTGGCCCTTCCCCACCGATTGGAGGATAGCAGTTCAAGACCCTGGTGTCATCCTGGACGGGAAGACCAAGAAGGAGCTCCAGTCATTGGCTCAGCTCGGGTTGCATTATAAAGACTTCACTTCTGAGGAGAAGCTCATCCGAGCAGGCTTGAGTCCGGGTAGGTTTTCCCCACTTCAGCTTTCTGCTCATATATTTGCTTCAGGTTGCTGACGTCGTGTTTCACCATAGGTCCCATGGAGGTGGAAAAAATAAACAACCAGAAGCTCTTCCACCAGATGAAGAGGAAGAAACGCGTGGCAAAGAAGGCGCGCATTGGGTCCCCGCAATCTTCAGCCAAGCCTCGACTTCCGTAGACTTCTGCCCTGGGGCCCGAGGTGGCAGTCGCGCCCGTCATCGACTTGGAAGAGGGGGCTATGCCTAAGGGGCCCGAGGTGATGGTGGAACCTACCTTTAAGCCCACCGAGCCTGCTACCGAGCCCACCAGACTTGCTAGAGAAAGCGTTGCCGAGACCAACGCTACTGCTGTCGAGGCTCATCCTGCCGAAGCTGCTGCCGAGGTCTCCGAGAGCTCTACTAACGATGTGGAGATGACGGCTTCCAGCTCGGAGGGTCAGGGGAGCCAAACCGTCCTAAACCCCAAGTGTAGCCTCAAGAAGAGTAAGCTGGCTGCATACTCGGGGGAGGTCATCAAGTGGGCCGAACTCACTCCTGGTCAGCTCGGCGCCCGAGCCTTGACCCTCCAATCAGATCGACATCTAAGGCGGGCTCTGGAGGCTAAGAAATCGTCTCGCGCAACCCATACTGAGTTGAGGGCAGCTCGTTGTTAGGTTCACCGCTTGGAGAGCGACGCCTCGGCTCAAAGGAGTTTCATCGAGGTGTTAATGTCAGAGAAGGGGGAGCTGGCTCGAGATAAAGACAAGTTGAGGGCCGAAGTGAATGGTCTCAAGGTCGGTCAGGAGGCCTTAGGGCTCGAGGTGAGCAGCTTCAAGGCTGAGCGGGATGCTCTGAGGCTCGAGGTACAAGGCCTCAAGGAGGTGAAGGGAAAACTGGAGCATGAAGTGGGGTACCTCCAGGAGGACGTAAGGGAGAAGACTGCAATCTTCGAAGGTGCTCTCGAGGAGGCCAAGACCCAGGCCGTCATTTACTACGTCAACTCTTCGGGATTCGACGATGTGAAGACGGAGGCCTACTGTAAGGGCTTCAAGCTCAGCCGGTGGCTGATCAGGCACCTCTACCCCGAGCTGGACACGAGCGCCCTTACTACTTCGCGGATTACTGACGACATCGTGCGTTAGTCAAAAGATGACCCCGATTCCGAGGATGAAGGTCCCGAAGATGGAGCAGAGGATGCCGGTCCAGACACTGTCCCCGAGGGGGTCCCTGATAGAAGCGGCGAGCCCCCGAAGTAGTTTGCTCTTGTAACTTAGTCTTTTTCCTTTCTAAACTGTGAATGTACATATCCTGAGCCTTTGAGCTCGGGTAAAAATTCTTGTACCTGAACTCTCTTTTTAATGAAACATAGTTTCTTTCGAGTATCTCTTAGTACAAAAACCCTTCCAAGTGTGAGTGGACACCGAGCTGGTTTATTTAATGTATAGGTTACCCGAGCTGCGTAAGAGCAGCAGGGGTGTAGACGCCGTAGGGTTCATACCCGAGCTGTCTTTCCCTTAAGGGTTAGAGATAACCAGGTTTCGTCAGTTTGGTGTTTCGTGGCCGTTTAGGCTTCGGGAGGGATTCGTAGTCCGTTCCTGAATTTCCCCATGCTGGAGTGGCACTTGGCCTTTCCTTGCGCACTCTTTATTTTTGCTAAGGCGATCTCAACACCCAAGCTATTAGAGCTGCGCACCCGAAGTGAGTGACAAAGTAGGGTACATGCCCGACCTGTCTGTACTTGAGCTAAGTTGACATCGGCTGTCCTTAACGAGTTTGACTCGTTGCATGCCAGGGCGGGCTATTCGTTACAAGGTTCGTGCCCGAACCGCCTGCACTTTGGGCATTGTAAGTACTTAGTTCATGCTGATGAGGCCACTAAGTCCTGTACGCTGTCGAGGTCTTTTCATTAGCTCGGCGTTCTAGCCCTTAGGCTGGAGGAGTTGGCTCGTGGCCCACTCTCGGGGTCTGCTCATGCCATAGAGGTGGTTGGGTCCTGTTGTGCCAGGGTCATGTTAGCTCGGTGTTCTGGCCCTTTGGCTTAGGGAGTGGCTCGTGGCCTACTCGATTCTTACAGATAATATTGCCTTAGGTTGACAATATTCCATGCTCGAGGTACTTGTTTCCCTTCGAGGGTCTCGAGCTCGTATGTTCCTTCCCCGAGCACTC